CCTCTCCCCCTACCTTACTTTCTCATCTTAGGGTAACTGTTGACCCTTTGGTCTCACATAGTTTTTTTTAAAAGGAGCACAGTACTCATGGGTGATATTTATTTCATGAGCCAGTCTGTTATTTAACTGAAAGATGACCTCTAGGAGTGGTTTCACTTCAAAGTTTAAAGATATCTCAGTACAATAGTCTCCGGGGTTTCTCTAGTCTCAACCAGTCCAGTAAGTCCAGCCTTCTTTAAGAGGAGCCACAGTCTTTTACAACCTAATCTCAGAACTAACACACCATCACTTCTGCCATATGCTGTTGGCCACACAGACCAACCTTGGATCAGTGTGGAAGGGGACTGTACAGGGATGTGAATCCCAGGAGGCAGAATCATTGGGGCCCTCCTGGAGCCCAACTACCACACTGACTAACTGCTATGAAAGAGATGGATCCCACTTTCTAGTAGAGATGTTTGTTTGTTTGCTTCTAATTATGTGCAGGAGAAACATCTATCCAGATTTAAACATCACTTGCACCTTTGACAAGACTCAGAATCCACAATGTCCCATTTTCCGACTAGGAGATATCTTCCGAGAAACAGGAGATAACTTTTCAGATGTGGCAATTCAGGTTGGTGGTGCCTTTGGACCGTGGAGTATTGGGGTGGGGAACGGAGGATGTCAAAAGGCCAAGGGGCCAGGTAACTGGGTCTTAATAATATGGTTCACATTGATTGAGCATCTAGTAAATCTATGCATGGTGTCAAGGGCTTTATTTGCATTACCTCATCTAATCCCACATCATCCCTATGAGTGAAATACTGGTGTATTAGTTTTCTAGGGCTTTCGTAACAAAATGCCATAAGCTCGGTGGCTTACAAAAACATAAATGTATTGTCTCACAGTTCAGGAGACCAGGAGTCCAAATCAGGGTGTCAGCCACGTTGATTCCTTTTGACGGCTCTGAGAGAAACGCTGTTCCATGCCTCTCCCCTAGCTTCTGGTGGCTCCTGGCAACTCTTGGCCTTCTCTGGCTTGCAGCTGTGTCTGCCTCCAATCATCACATGGCCATCTTTCCTCTGTCCCCCTATCCTGTTTGTCTTCTCCTCTTTTATAAGGAACCAGTCATTTAGAATGAGGACTGAACCTACTCCAGTATGACCTCATGTTAACTCACTAATAACATCTTCAAAGACCCTATTTCCAAACAAAGTCATCTTCACAGGGACTAGGGTTAAGATTTCAACATACTTCTAAAGAGGGGGACACAATTCAACCCATAATAAGGGGGTTAAGGATGGCTGAGTGGACGAGGATAGATTTAAGCTGGGTCTCAGAGGATGAAGAACATTTAGCTAGAAAAGTGGGTGAGAGGAACATTTATTTGGGAGAAAAGGGCAAGGGTCAAGACTAAAAACTGCAAAGTGTGTTTGGGGAAAAGTATAGACAGAATAACAGCTTTCTCTAAGGGATTACTGGGAGAAAAAGCAGAAAAGATATTTGATGGAGTGCCCTGAATTCCGGTCTAACAAGTTTAGACTTAAACTTTAGTGTGGGTCCATTAATGGTGTTTGATGAACCGAGTGGTTTGCTGAGAGGTATATTTTGGGAAAATAATTCTAGTGACAGTATATCCCACATGGTGGGAAGAGCAGGGAGATATATTTGTGATTGCCACAGAAATATTTGTGTGAGTTAGACAGAGCTGTGCTTATGGCTCCCAAACATTTAATAAGCCTTTTTCCTCCACAAAGAAAATCTTTCCTTCCACAATCATCCCTAGCAGGCAGAAAACCCAACACAGAATGCTGGATGGTGGTTGTGTGACCCCATGTCTCAAAAGACTTAGACACTATTTCTTGTTTAACTTCTCCAGGGTGGAATTATGGGTATTGAGATCTACTGGGACTGCAACCTGGACAGTTGGTTCCATCGCTGCCAACCAAAGTATAGTTTCCGTCGCCTTGATGACAAAACCACCAATGCGGCTCTGTACCCTGGCTACAACTTCAGGTAACTCAGCTTTCCAGCTCAGATCCAGCCAGTGGTTGGCTGGTCTTGTCCCACAGAGGTCTTCCCAGGGAGCTGAACTGCAGCCCCAGCAGTCAGTAGGACTAGTCATTGGTTCCCAAGGCAACAAGATGAATACAAAAGACTTCCTTTAAAAGCTAAGCTGTCACTGAATTTTTGTACAAACTCTTTCTTTTCAATTATTAAAGAGAAACATACTCTCTATTAAAAAAAAAAAAATCCTTGGGAAACAGAAAAGCACACAGAAGAGGATAAAAATCACCCATAACTGCTCCGTCCTGAGACAATCCACGCTAACCCTCTGGCAAATCTTCCTTCGTCTATCCCAATTTTTTCATGAGGCTCAGACGAGATCATATCACATGTACAATTTGGCATCGTTTTTTTTTTCCAAACCCCAGGTCACTGATAATTCTTTGTGACTATTACATTATGATCATAATGTTCCACTGTGTGGCTGTAATGTTAGTGATAGCTACAATTTAAGGAGAGTCTTCTATGTGCCAGGCACCCGACACGGCTATCTCAACCCCAGGGCAATCCCAGAAGGTGGCTATTCATGTTCCTGGTTGAAGCTGACAAAGGTGAAATGACTTGCCCCAGAAACACAGCTAGGAGCAGAAGCTCATACCGCCCGTGCAGTTGCTCTGCTCCCCACACTCATGCCCTTTCCCTTCCATCCCATGACTTTCCCACCCACTCCCCTTTTATTGGACATTTGGGCTGGTCCCAGGTTTTTACTATCAATCTCTCGGCAGTGTACATCTTGGCACACAAATATTTGAATTCTAGGTATTTCCTTAGGATAAGTTTCTAGAAATGGAATTACTGGATCAAAGATTATGAGCGTTTTACCACATGCTTTCCATTTTTTTCTTATTTCTATGGCTATATTTTTTTTTATTTTTCAAGCCACCTACTACTGTTTTAGCAAGTTCTGTTCTGACCTTATGGATCCAACTCCTTTTATTCATCCTTACTAGATAGCCCCTTTCATACCGATCTGTTATCTGCAGTGACTTGGGTGTGATTTCTCCTTGTGTGCTTTGGAATATTTGTTAGTGGGTTTGTCTTCTGCAGAACGGGTATTATGCAGAGTTCAGTGTGTGCTATGTAAGATGGAGGCCTTCCTGTGAGGTGATTATGTGATCATGTAGTGGTTCCTGCTGGGACTGTATGGGGTCTCTCAATCGTGAACCAGGTTTTAGTTTCATTTCTCTGCTCTGTATTTCTTTACTATGGTAAAAGTACCCAGTTGCTGTTCTCTTGCTATCAAGAGGTACGACTGCCCCAGCTCCTTCCCTGTAAGTGTGTTAAAACTCTAGTTCCTCAGATGGATAAATCTGGTTCACGTACTCCTAGGGATCATGTAGCTTCAATCTCCACTCACCATTGACGTTTAGCACTTAGAAAACGCCTGTTCTTGTTCGGAGCTCAGTAATGTATTGATGATCCACTGGTAGAATTCTCGTTTTCAGTGCAGCAGTCCCTGGGCAGCATTTAGTTCCATTGTGCATGGGGTTGCCGTGAGTCGGGGGCCAACTCGACAGCAGCTAACAACAATAACACTGTACCCTGATACAATTTTTAAAAAATGTTTTATCCTGCACTTCCATGTGTATAGAGTGGGAGGTGGTGGTAGAGGTGGTGAGGCTTCCCTTACTAGCTCAGGCTGCCATCTTGATTGGAAGTCCTTTTGGTGAGAACATCTTAAAGACTTCCAGCAAGCTGGGCTACATTTCTTTCTTGCTTGCAGGGTTGTCTTACTGTTAAAGTTTCTTTGTAGTGTATCACGTGCTTGCTGGACTTCAACTCCATGACTTCCCTAGAATTCTGGGTCATTTCCATTGTTAGCTTCCCAGGGGAATCAATAAAATAAGGCTTCTACATAACCTGTGTGTGTGTGCACATACACACACGTATGTGCACGCATGCACAAATACACCCTCTGCTAGCATTCTTACTGACTTCTGGAGTGGTCTGTTCGAGCAAATGGGTCTATTTATATTTTACTTAAAGCAGCATCATAAACTGGCAGGCAGGCCTCAAATGGGCTTTTATTTTTACTTGTTTTAGTCCTGAACAGTGTTTTAAAAGTTGAGACTTCCTGCTTTTCTTGAAAATTTCAGCTATTTGACAACCCTGGGCCCCCACTCCACCTGGCAGCAATTGGCTGGAGCTGAGTATCAGTGGCCCTTTCAGAAAGAACGTGCGTTCTCTAGTTTGCCACTGTTCTCACCACTCCTTATTGCCTTATACCTGGCCTGCATCAGTCATTTTTGCTACCTGCCTGGCTCCTACAGACATC